TCCATTCGCACATTCTATTCAGACTATCATATATTTTTATTTTTTTTTCTTTATGATCCATCAAATAAAAATCATTTATGCGTGCGATTCGTATTACAACATATTTGTTCTTTCATTTGAAATCCATCACATGCAAATTCATTGTAAATTCTTCTCAGCCTATTGTATATTTGCATTTCTTTTTCTATTTACGATCAACGAAATGGCAATACATCTATAAGTTCGTTCCATATAATTCTATATTCTATTTATTATTATTTTTTAGTTTGGATGAAGCAAATGACAATCCTTCGGTAGGTTTGTTTCAAATGATTGTATTTGCTGTTTCTCATTTTTTTAGTTTGGATGAAGCAAATGACAATCCATCGGTAGGTTTGTTTCAAATGATTGTATCTGCTGTTTCTCTTTTTTTAGTTTGGATGAACAAGATGACAATCTATCAGTGAATTCATTTTAAATTATTCTATATTCTATTTCTTTTTTTTCGGGAACCACCCGATTCAACATCCATCGGTAAGTCTTTTTTTAATGATTATATAGAATTACTTTTATTTAGGTTGAACGAAATGACAATCGATCGGTGAGTTCTATGGAAAATACGTCCTACTGCTATATGTGCATTTATGATGAATGAGAGGAAAGCTCATATGCGAATGCTGTTGAAGTTATTCTAGAGTTTATTTTTTTACATTTAGTTTTAACTCAAGGTGAAATTTGTTTTAAGCAGTATCAATTTTAGTCGTATATTTAATTTTTTTTTTAGGTTGTGATTGAAAAATGCTGGGAAGGAAAATGATATTAGACGTAGTGGGAGAAAGTGATCGGCTGGTGAATGTCTCATTGTTTGACGCTTCGGTGTAGTGTTTTTCGGGCCGTTTTGTAGACTGGAAATGGTTTTGTTGGTTGGAATATTTTTTTTTGTTCCCGTGTCACTCGGCATAGATAGCTGTGTCCGCAGTTTGTGAACCTCGAAAACCCACTGTGGGTTTTCGTTCTCTAGTTTTAGGAACCTCGGAAGCCTTTAATAGGTTTCCGGAAGTAGTATATAGTATTTCATTATGGTTGGCTTCAGATAGGTTTCCGAACCATCGGAAATCTATTCTCGAAAACTCTTTTAGGGTTTTCCCGGATACCTTTTTTTTTAGAGTGTACTCCAAGTAAACAAGAAGAAATGTATAAGATAATACAAGAATTATTGCATTTTGGATAAATTCGTCCATCTGATCCTCCATATGCAGCACCAGCATTACTAGTAGCTAAGCACGATGGTACATGGAGAATGGCAGTAGATTATAAAAAATTAAATAATATTACTGTTAAGGATAATCATCCATTACCCAATATGGAGCAAGCAATACAATTATTATGTGGTAGTTATAAATTTTTTTCTAAACTTGATATGAAGAGTGGATTTTGTCAAATTCTAATTAAAGAAGAAGACAAATTTAAAACTGCATTTATTACTCCAGATAGTCTTTTCGAATGGAATGTGCTGGCTCAAGGTCTCAAGAATAGTCCACCATCTTTTCAATGAGTAATGACTGATATATTATCTACATGCCGGCAATTCTCGTTGGTTTATGTTAATGATATCGTGGTGTATTCTCGTTCATTTGAAGAACATCTCAATCATCTTACACAAGTATTATCTGCTTTATCCAAACATAATTTTCAACTTAACCCGGTCAAATGTAGTATTTTTATCAACAAATCGATTGTTTATCTCATACGATATCTGAACATGGTGTTAAGCCAACCAATGAAAAAATTCAGGCAATTATAAAAATTACGACAACCTACTAAATTAGCTGAAGCAAATAAATTTCTTAGTGCTCTTTCATGGTATCGTAAATTTATACCCAAATTTGCAACAATTGCTGCATCCATTCATGCTATAACAAACTTAACAAAAACAAATAGACACAAATTCGAATGGGATGCTTCTCAATCTCAAGCGATTTTACAATTGAAACAATTACTAATTACTTCTTCATTATTTCTTGATTCTTCAGATGATAATTATCCTGTTATATTAACAACGGATGCATCAGAAATTGGTATTGGTGGTACATTACAACAAAATATTAATGGTGAAACAAAAAATTTATATTATCATTCTCAAGTTACATCTTCTACTCAACGATGATATGATCCTATTGAATTAGAAGCATTAGCGATATGGTTATGTTTTCAACGAATGCGATCTTATCTACTTGGTAGATCTATTATAATTTATACTGATCATTGTTCTTTATGCAAAATGACGAACACATCAGTGAAAAATCGATGAGTGGATTGAATTTCTATTTTATTGCAACAATATGATATCGAAAACATTATTCATATTAAAGGTCAACGTAATTGTTTAGCTGATTATTTATCTCGTCATCCAATACAAAATGATGAAGAAATATTTGATGAGGATTATGGCATAAGCATGTTATTTCAGAGGGAACCACCGGTGACGGTACATACTCTTGTCAATCATCCTCCAGTTATTGGTGCTGTTGTTACGCGTTCAAAAATGAAACAAATAAAACGACAACAAAATGAAAATGACAAAATTACACCACCCACTGTAAATGATATACCATCATCGTCAAGTAAAGACAAAATTGAACATTCAAATAAATCTCCATCACTCTTAATTACGTCTAACAATTTTGATATAACTCAAATTAAACTTGAACAGTCAAAAGATTCAAATATTCAGAAGAAGATTAAAGAAGTTATGCAAGATCCAACAAAACATCCTTATGTAGTTACAGACTGTTTATTATATAAAGTGATATTAATAAATGTTGCTAGTAATAAGAAGAAGAAAGTAATTTATTTACCTTCAGTCATGATCAATTCCCTTCTGCACTTATACCATAATGATCCGCTTAGTGGTCATTTTGGCATTCAACGAACATATTTAAACAATTTAAAAATAAATTCTGGTGGCCAAATATGAAACAATCAATTATTCAACATATTCAATCTTGTTTACCTTGTCAACAACATAATATTAGTCGTACAAAGAAACCTGATCAACTTAATCCAATTCCAACTCCAGAGGGACCATTTCAATTAATAGGTATTGATTATTGTGGTCCGTTCCAACCAACACCTCGTGGTAATCAATATGTATTATGTATTACTGATTATTTTACAAGATGGATGACTGCAATAGCTTTACCTGATTGTTCAGCATAAACCACGGCTCAAACATTATTTAATAATTATATTTGTCAATATGGTGTACCATTAGCTATATTATCTGATCAAGGTACTCATTTTAAAAATCAACTTATGGAATCCATAGCAAAATTAATTGGCTACAATCATATTTTCTCAAGTGTTTATCACCCACAAAGTAATGAGATGATTGAACGCTTTAATGCGACATTCGTTCCTCAAATTGCCAAACTTCAAGATCTAGAAAATAACAATTGGAATGAATTCTTATCACCAGTGATATTTGCTTACAACATCGACATCCATGCAATGACTAATTATTCACCATTTCAACTACAGTTAGTCGAGAACCACGTATACCTACTGATGAACCTTCATCATCATTTACTTTCAATAAACCAAATGATTATTATGTACAATTGAAAAAAATCTATTGATAATACAACAACACGCACGTGATAATATTATTCGTCGACAACGATAATACAAGATTAATTATGATAAACAACGTTCAGATCCACATTATGAAATCAATGATCTAGTACTGATTAAAATTCATGGAATAAAGAAAAAGTTAGAACCAAAATATTCGATTACACCAAAAATAATTATTAGGAAACAACATCCAATTGATTGGGTCAAACATGAAAAAACATAGGTCGAATCCAGAGTACATGTTAATGATATTCGACCTATTCTTATTTTAAAATCAACATGATATATTATTGTTTAGTTATGTGCTAATATGATCATTAAATGTTTATGTTATGTTATGTTTATAGTGATTCGATGTTTGATCATCTTTGTTGTATGCGCAACGACTTAGTTGAACTAACATCGATTCGTTATGCTTGTGAACATATTGATATTTTAATTAGCGCGCATTAATTATCAATATAATTATCATTTGCATATGATTAGCATTAACAAATATTGGTTATTACAACTACAAATAAATTACACACAGGAAATCTTCTCTTTCAGAAGTGTTTCTGTTTTCAACAAACAAAGTTATTTGTGTTTTAACTTTACACATATTACATATTTTATTAATATACTAACGATATCTATGTATGCAATCTCGATACGTTTATTCCTCAGAACGAATGATGAATTATATGATTTATTTGTTTACCTTATTTATATTAATCTTTTTTTTTCTTCACTTATTTTATATCAATTTGTTTAATCTTCTTTTCTTTAGTCATAATAATGTCAGATAAATTTGTTCCATATCATTTACGTGACATTAACAATCCTCTAGCTCATCTTGATGACAATCGAAAATCGAATTGGATATGTACTGCAGAAAAAGGCGAAGAAAAATTATCAATATTAACAACAATATCCAGCATTTGATATACCAACATCACTTTATGAAATTATATATACAAGTAACGTTCGTCAGTGTGATTCACTTGACCCTCGACTGAAATCATTATATTTATTCTGATTATCCTTGACAACCACATATACAACTGAATAATCCACAATATCTAGAAATCGGTTGTTCTTCAGAACGAAACAAATTGGAACATATTATTGCTGAGGTTATTCTTCAGTAGAATTCAATCATTTCAGAGTCTCAATCCTTTTTCGTAGATTAGTTAAACATGGGTTACAAAGTGTTTTGTTCGTTTAATGACATGGATTGTGTCGATAGAATTAAGTCCTATGGATATTATCTAGTTTCATAGAGTGTAATTACTCTCCAGTGCAAGTTTGAAATGAAACTTTTGCATGATTCAGATTCGGATCTAATGAAGGATAGCTATGCTGGATTTTAATTCCACAGAGAATAAAAAAGTAGAAAGAGACTCATGCAACATCTCACAACTAAACATTTTCTGATGCATTTCGAATGGTTCAATATTTATGTTTTAGTATAGGAAAGTAAATAAAATTCAAAGAAATGTTAACCTTTTTATTTGTTGTCTAATGTTCTTTCTTATAATAAGCATAAAGGAAATCAATGTTACTTCTGCATACTAGTTATCCTCAATCCAATTTTCACAATTATTATCTTTTGACATTCAATCACAAGACATTTGCTTTTTCTACATGGATGCTATTATAATACAAATTCGTTAAGTAATGCTTTTCGTCGCATATATGTTAAAGCTGTTGTGTATATCGAGAAAAATTCTTTCATACAACTAATTTAAAAGAAAATTGTGTTTCCTTCCTTTACTGATTGAGGGACACTATTTCAACCGACTGAACTCGATTGGTTAGCAATTGTTCTATGGATTTTGGTTTCGTCAGAAGCGTATTTTCTCTATTGATAATACTTTTTGATTTACTATTTAATAACTACACTTTTAACTTCTTCCAAAAATCTTCTTCACTTTACCATAGAATAATTTTCTAGGAGAATTTCCAAAAACAACGAGATTTGGTTATAAATCAGTCTTCATAGTTGTAATTTCATGACCATTTTGGAAAATGGACGTTGTATTAAAATTTTTCATTACAGAATCTTGCTAGAATTCTCTCAAAAAGCGCATAGGGCTTCTTATGAACTTTTGCTGAGGGTATTGTCAGTGAACTTTTCGGACCACCGGTTAGCCGCTCCCATGTTGGAGTATAACTTCTCATTTGAAAATCTTCCTGTGAAGTTCAGATGCATTTTCGAAGAGAAAGTGTGAGTATAAACTGAAGTCGAAATGTAGAGACTTCCACCATTTTCTTTCTAATAAGCAGAATCATTGAAAGTTGAACGTGATGGGCAATGTTCACCGTGACGACGGCGAGACAAAACATTAGACAATAAATATGTTTCTTGTAGGCAAAAAATAACAGATGGAAAACTGCTTGCTTATTATTCACAATCAGTGAAAAGACTCTGACCAACTGAAGAAACTATGCTCATACTATTGACGAACATTTAATGGTATATTAAGACATTAGGTGACTTCTAAATGATCATGATATGTTTTTGAACTTTGAGATAGACAGATGTCAATCATGATCGCTGATGTTTCAATATGGCTCCGTCTGCATTCGACTAAGACAAAAAAGTACTACATAATTGAATTCTATTTCGTACAAGACCTTCTGTGTCTATTGAAGTACATGGTGATACGTCAAGATTCATAGTGAATTTATCAAATGAACTTACACAGAAAATTTAGCTGATACAGAACTCTGACAATTAGTGCCATCGTCGATTGTATGTCTTTCGCCAGTCCATAGTTAGTGAAACGTGGAGGCTAGGTAAAGCTTGAACCTCACTTGGATACGACACTATTAGGCTCAGCTTCACCCCATTTTGACATGATCATTGTTTCAATACCATAGTACGTAAGTGGAATGAATAATTGGGTGTGGTTGTGGATATGAGAGTGGATCGTCTGTTCACTCACACTCACACCCTCAAGGTCATTTTTTGATGTAAAATAAATAATTATATGTAGGCCAAAAAATAAAATTAAATCTTGTATGCATCAGTATACATAATACAAGATAGAAAAGCTTTCATTTCGACACAGAATCATTTTAGTAAAAGCTTTCCAAAAAAATACGTTTTTCTCTTTCTATGAGCATGTTCAATTTTGGAAGTTGTGTTCATTTTAAAAATACATGCAACAAATACTTTAGCATTCCCATTCGATTCATATGTGTTTGCACAAATAAATAAGGTTATCGAATGGAAGTATGTACAAGGATAAGATTCTGGCATGATCCAACCTTTTTCTCTCCAAAACATGAAAATTGTGTTTTTCACACGCATTTTTATAACTCACATCGTTTTTCATGTAGTTTTGCTCTGCATCTATATGAAATAATTATAAATGTTAAGAATAATTTTCATGCTTGTACACAAGATACTATTCCTTAAAAATATCATGTACGTGAACGTGAATTTTTGATAATTTCTCAAATACATACGTTATGTAAGGTTTTGTATTTGATTGAAGGGCACAATAAAGAAAAAGAATTCAGTCAAAAGCTCATGTTTTATGTCTGTAATACTAAAAAAACATCAAAATATTTGAAAAACACAAATTTTTACCTGAAATATAATTAGGGAAAAGGTTGTTGATTAAAGTAATCTAATTTTCAGCATTAAAGAGAGTTTCATAGTTGTAGTTCATGCTGATTTTGAAAACTATTCTACTATTTGTCATCATGTAAGCGATTGATATAGTTTTGATATAATTCGTTTATTCGTAAAAAAAATATATCATAAAATTTCGATCATGTATCTTTTTGAAATTGTTGTCAAAATCAGTTTAACTTGAAAGTTTAGCAAAAACGATTTCAAAAAAATAATCGAAAAAGTATATAGAAAACGTTCATATGTTCGGATATATTTACCATCTTCTTTTAGTACATATCTCATTATGAACAATGTTCATCCTCTTCTTTAACGAAATGTCTTTAATGGATGGCTACTAAAGTGATACCCACAACTGAATATAAAGCTTGTTCTGATAGACATCCAAATTTGGAATCATTAATTCGAGAAGTTCTAAAAGATATACTATCGGATGTAAACAATTTCGAGTCTCATGATTATATTATCAAAAATGATTAAATTGGATACATAAAACTTTGTTTGCATATCTTTGTGAAAATGAAAAAAAAATAATATAAGAGAAGAAAGTCCACATTAAAATATAAGTATAAGAATTAATGGCTGCAGTTTTTCATATGCTGAAATATCTCTCTAGGTTCAATATATTATGGGTGTCACAGATACATTAGAAACTCTAAGTGAGCCTGAGAAAAAAGTCATACAAAGTAATTATAAGAGATCATGAAAAATACATATGTTTCATCTGTATTTAGAAAAACTAATCTTAGATTTATCAAAAAGAGATGATATTATGATTGAGGATAGTGAAGATTATTTCAATAGGATAAAGAGAGAAATTGATGATAGATTAGTGGAAAGATCGAGATCTTCAGAAAATGTGCCGTTTTGGGTCTTTTTGAATCAAAACAAAGTTTAATGGAATTTTATAATTCTGATGTTTTGGCATCAATCAAAGAATCAGTCGATTATCCAACTG